TTGGCATGTGAAAGCTGAAAATGAAGAAGCGCTGGCAGTTAGAAAATACAGCGTTGGTGACAGAAATGACACTGGAGATAGCATAATAGAATTTTGCAAGACCACTAAGTTATTCATTGCAAATGCCTTTTTTCAACAACATAAATAACAATACACATGGATCTTGCCAGATGGAATACAAAGGAATCAAATTAACTACATCTGTAGGAAGAGATTATAGAGAACCTCAATATTATCAATCAGAACAAGGCCAGATGCCAACTGTTTTCGAAAAGACCATCAATTTCTCATATACAAGTTCAAGCTGAAGCTAAAGAAAATTAAAACAAGTCCATGAGAGCCAAAATACAACCTTGAGTATATCCCATCTGAATTTAGAGATCATCTGAAGAACAGATTTGATGCCTTGAATACCACTGACCAAAGACCAGATGAGTTGTGGGATGACATTAAGGACATTATACATGAAGGTCATTAAATAGACAGGAAAGAAAGAAAAGACTAAAATGATGTCAGAACAGACTGAAACTTGCTCTTGAATGAATAGTAGCTAAATTGAATGGAAGAAATAATGAGGTAAAAGAGCTGAACATAAAATTTGAAAGGGCTGCTTAACAAGACAAACTGAAGTATTATAATCAAATGTTTAATCATTATGTTGTTTAAAAGACCTGGAGTTAGAAAATCAACAAGGAAGAACATGCTTAGCATTTCCCAAGATGAAAGAATTGAAGAAACAATTCAAGCCTCGAGTTGCAACACTGAAGGATTCTATGGGCAAAATATTGAATCATACAGGAAGCATCAAAAAATGGAAGAAATACACAGTCACTGTACCAAAAAGAATTGGTTGACACTCAACCATTTCAAGAGGTAGTAGTGTATGATTAAGAACTGATGGTACTGAAGGAAGAAGTCCAAACTGTACTGAAGGCGCTGGTGAAAAACAAGGCTCCAGGAACTGACGGAATATCCATGGAGGTGCTCCAACAAATGGAAGGAATGCTGGAAGAACACATTCAATTATGCCAAGAAATTTGGGACAGATACATGACCTACTGACTGGAAGAAATCTATACATGTGCCACTTCCAAAGAAAGGTGATCCAACAGAATGTGGAAATTATCAAACAGTATCATTAATATCACACACAAGTAAAATTTTGCTGAAGATAATTCAAAAATGGTTGCATAAGCACATCTATAGGGCACTGTCAGAAATTCAAGCCAGATTCAGAGGAGGGGGGGAACAAGGGATATCATCACTGATGTCAGATGGATCTTGTTTGAAAGCAGAGAATACCAGCAAGATACTTACCTGCGTTTTACTGACTATGCAAAGGCATTTGACTGTGTGGATCATACCAAATTATGTATAACACTGAGAAGAACAGGAATTCCAGAACACTTAACTGAACAAAACAAGGGGGTACGGCATTGTTTAAAATGAGGAAGGGTGTGCATCAGGGTTGTATCATTTCACCATACTTATTCAATCTGTACGCTGAGCAAATAACTCAAGAAGCTTGTGATAGTTGGAGCTGTGTGTCAACTTGGCAGGACCACAATTCTGTGTGGTTTACGCTGTTGTGATGTGGTTATTCCCATGATGGGATCAGATGATTATGTTTGAGCAGGCAATCTGTTGAAAGGGAGTTTCCCTAGGGGTGTGACCTGCTTCCACTATATCCAAGGACATCCTGGGAAAAGAGACATTCTTCTGTGGATCGGGATTCTGTTGTGCTGCCTACAACTGTCCGTGAGTGAACAGTCCACCATTCGGCCTGGAGATCTTGGATTCATCATTCGCTGGAGTCAATAGCTGGTGTACTGCCTGCCAGCCTTGAGCTCCACAGCCCCTGCAGTTGCAAGAGTCTGGAAAAGCCTCCAGCTTGACGTTTGATCCAGGAACTTTGGACTTGCCAGCTTCTATAAGTGTGTGAGCCATTTTCCTAAGATAAATTTCTATATATATACATATATATATAAGCTTTACTGGTTTTGTTTCTCTAGAGAACCCAGTCTAACACAAAGCTGGACTATATGAAAAAGAACACAGCATCAGAATTGGAAGAAGACTCATTAACAACCTGTGATGTGCAAAGACTTACTGATAGAGATCAAGGACTACACCCTTCAGTATGGATTACATCTCAATATAAAGAAAATAAAAATCCTCACAACTAGACCAAAAAGCAAGACTATGATAAATGGAGAAAAGATTGAAGTTGTCAAGGATTTCATTTCACTTGGATCAACAATCAACACCCATGGAAGTAGCAGTCAAGAAATCAAACAACACACTGCACTGGGCAAATCTGCTACAAAAGAGCTCTTTAAAGTGTTAACGAGAAGATTAACATGCACCTAACCCGAGCCACAGTCTTTTCAATAGCCTAATATGTATGTGAGAAATGGACAGTGAATAAGGAATACTTCAGAAGAATTGGCAGAAGCTGGTGGTTCAAACCCACTAGCCACTCCCTGGAAGGAAGGTTAAGCAATCTACTTCTGTAGTGACACAGCTTAGAAACCCAAGGAGGGGTCATTATGAGTCGGATCCCACTCTACGGCAGTACGTTGCATCGCGTTGTTGCAGAAGAATTGATGCATTTGAATTATGGTGTTGGAAAAGAATAATTGAATATACCATGGACTGCCAAAAGAACAAACAAATCTGTGTAGGAAGAAGTACAGACAGAATGATCCTTTGAAGCAAGAATGGCCAATCTTTGTCTCTCGTACCTGGATTGTGTTATCGTTATCAGGAGGGATTAGTCCCTGGAAAAAGGGTATTGTGGTTGGTAAAGCAGAGGGTTAGAAAAAAAGAGGAAGAACCTTAACAAGATGGATTGACATAGCAGCTGCAACAATAGGCTCAAGCATGGCAATGCTTGTGAGGATGGTGCAAGAGCAGGCAGTGCTTCATTATGTTGTGCATGGGGTTGGAATGAGTCAGATCCAACTTGACAGCACCTAACAACAACAACAACATTAAAAGTGATTATTGTTTGGAGATGACACTGAAGGACTGACCAATGGCCTTTCAATTTTTACGTTATTTATTGACTTGTGCCTCAAAAAAATATATTGTTAATCCTAACCTCTACACCTGTGGCTATAACCCCATTTGAGAATATGCTTTGTTATGCTAGATTAGTGTAATGTGTATCCTGAGTCAATCTCATTGAGATATAAAAGAGATTAAACAAGCAAGCTAATAATCAGAGATAGGCGAAGAGAGATGCCAAGCCACATGAAGATCACCCAGGACAGGAGCAGAAGCTAAAGTGGCAAGGACCTTCCTCTAGAGCCCACAGAGGAACAAAGCTTTCTCCTAGAGTCAGCACTCTGAATTCAGACTTCTAGCCTCTCAAATAGTGAGAAAATAAATTTCTATTTGTTACAGCTACCCACTTGTGGTATTTTTGCTATAGCAGCACTAGATAACTAACACAGTATTTTTTTAAAAGTAGTAAAGCTATGTATGACTTTTCACTTTCTTTTGGATTTTCTATGTTCTGAATTTTAAGAAAATGAAATAATTTGTTGTCTTTAATTTGCTAGCTTTATGTAGTGTTTCTGTATCTCTACTTTTAAATGAGACTAGTTTGTCTATCCTTATCCTTTTTGAAATATCAAAGTTACACTATCTTGAAAAAATGAACTGTTGGTAGTTTTCCATTTTTTTCTATGCTATGAAAATTTAAATAGAAATAGGAATCATTTTTGTATCCTTTCTCCACACTTATTCAATCTATATGCTGAGCAAATAATCCGAGAAGCTGGACTGTATGAAGAAAAACGTGGTATCAGGATT